CCCACCCGACCCCGCCTGCAACTTTATTGAGGCAGCTTCCCGGCAGACCCCAAAGCCCACCCACCCCCAGAGGGCCACCACCTTTCCCCATCCCATCCCACCACTGTAGAGCGCCCAGGACCACCAGCCAGCCATTCTGGCCTGGGGAAACCCCATCGATCGCCACCTTCTACCCAGGTGTCCATGCAGTGAGAGGACTGAGCCCTACAGCTGCTCCTGCACAGTTCCCCTCACGAGCTGAGCCCTGTGCCAGCTCAGGGGACTCCCACACCCCTCTGGGGTCTCTTGGCCCTGATTAGAGTGGCAGTGAACTGGCTGCCCTGGAGGGACCTATGGGAAGCAGGCCCATGCAGGCCATTCACATCTGGCTTTGGAAGCTCCCCAGCCCACTATCCATCTGCTGGTCCCTTCAAAACTTAGAGGACCCCTCCCCCAAGCCTCTGATGACCACAGGCAGGCAGATGATCAGCTGCAGGCAGTGATGTCACTCTGACCAGTGCAATGGCTAGTTGGAAGGGTCTGTCACCACCTTCCAAGAGAAGGAACAGGTCTTAGTCATCTGGGTTTGGGAGTCATATTAACCCCAAGCTCAGATCCTGGTTTCCCCCCTTCCTCCAACACGTGATCTTGGGCCTGCCTGAATCTCAGCTCCCATATTTCTTGAAAATGGGGACCATTTCTGCTTTAAAAGGTGAATTAGAGGATGGAAATGTAACATGCCTGATCCCCCTACATTCTAATTATTGGTACCTGGTACCTGGTAAGCATGTGATGAGATAAATTGAAACCTTTTGTACCCAACTTGTCATCTGAGCCTTTTTGGGCCAATTGTCAGGGAAAGAGAGAAACTTGGGGAATTCCTTCACCTCAAAGTCCACAGATCCAGGACCCAGAGCCGGGGGGACCCCAGCTTGCTAGCCTGAACAGCCTCACACCCCTGGGCTTGTCCAAAGCTGGAAGGCCACTATCTTGGCCTAGAAGGTGGATTCTCAGGCCACTAAGTAAAGGGCTGCCAGGATGTAAATGCCCAGCCAGCCCTCTTGGCTCCTCACCAGCCCTGAGCCTCCTTCCACCAGTCCTGTCCCCTGTGGAAAGCAGCTCCCAGGAAATCAAAGTTCCAGATACGTCCATTAAATCATGAATGTAGGAGGCTGGCGTTGTGGCTCAGCAGTAGAGCACTCACCTAGCACATGTGAGGCATTGGGTTCAATCCTTAGTACCACATAAAAATAAATAAAGGTATTGTGTCCCTCTACAACTAAAATAAATAAATCATGAACTTAGACTCAGGAATCTGATATTAGACCTTGGTCTTCCAACTAGTACACTCATTGCAACCCAGGAGGGGCTGGGGATGTAGATCAGTGGCAGAGCACATCTTTAGCATGCACAAAGCCCTGCGTTCCCTCCCCAGCACCTCCCAAAAAAGAAAATTCCCAGAAGGGATTGTACCCCTGTCCTAAGGGGCTCCTGATCTGACTTGGATGCCTCCCATTTCCATAATAACAGCTTATACAGCACAGCCCTCTGGGCCCCATTAA